GGTTTGGTAATTCCTTGGATGTTGTCACGAAGTACTTTACGATGACGCTTCGCACCTCCTTTCCCTAGACCTTTTCCTCCTTTACCTCTTCCGGTCATTGTCGTCAAATAAAAACCTTGCTACTAGACACGAACAACACACAAACAGACGAACTGAACGTTATCGACTGAATGGTGCGCTGGTGAATTTACGCCCGGTTTTGTTAAGGATTTCGACTCCGCCCGTTTTCCTCAAATCGAACCAATCGCGTGTCAGCGTAACGTAACAAAACTGTTGCAAGCTCTCACAATCGCACTCATTGTAGTAGACGAAGTCGCAGCGTTCGCGTCGCTCCGATTCATTTGCGTGATACCTAACAATAATTAAAAAATCAGTTTTTAATCCGGCAAAATGGCTCGTACTAAACAAACTGCCAGAAAATCTACTGGAGGAAAAGCTCCGAGGAAGCAACTGGCGACGAAAGCGGCTCGGAAAAGCGCCCCGGCTACCGGTGGTGTCAAGAAGCCTCATCGTTACAGGCCGGGAACTGTCGCCCTCCGGGAAATTCGTCGTTATCAAAAAAGTACCGAATTGCTGATCAGGAAATTGCCATTCCAAAGGTTGGTCCGTGAAATCGCCCAAGATTTCAAGACCGATTTACGTTTCCAAAGTTCAGCGGTAATGGCTTTGCAAGAAGCCAGCGAAGCCTACCTGGTTGGTCTTTTCGAGGACACTAACCTTTGCGCTATCCATGCCAAGCGAGTGACCATCATGCCCAAAGACATCCAATTGGCCAGACGTATCAGAGGCGAACGTGCTTAATTTTTTTTATGACTACGCTTCTAAGAAAAAAAAAAAAACGGTTCTTTTCAGAACCACAACTATAAAGAAAAAAGAAATTTCGTCTGCATTGTCAATAACAAAACTCGATAAAAATCCCAAGAGCGCTTCCTAGTTCTCCTATATAATATGTAGGTACCTAGGTACGACGATTTTTTTTACACGTATAGTTTTTGCTATACTTATACTGTTTCAATCATCATTTTCGAATTTGTTTGTAGAGGTACCTATACATAATTTTGTTTTCGTTCTAGTTCATTTTTGGATCTACCTACTTCTTTGTTTACGTTGAGGCTACCCACTGCGCGAATCTCGAATAATTATTGGATTGCTTCGGTTCGAAAAAAAAAATCGCGTTAGGTATAGAGAAAAAAAACAAAGAAAAATAGGTAGGTAATAACCGCAGCGTGAATCTTAAATTAGAATTACGAGCGAGAAAGAATGGTTTGTTGGGGTTCGAATCAAGCATAAAATAATAAAAAACGGGCTAGTGTTTCGCCCAACTGCGGTGATTGATTCGATCCGTCAGAATCGAACCAAAACATCGTTCGTTTTTTGAGCATCCATTCGATACGAATTCTTTTTTTTGTGTGAATTGTGGTCCTGAAAAGGACCGATTGATGCGTCGAAGTAAATATATGCCTATTTACTTGGCCTTATTGTCTGTCTTTTTGGGCAAAAGGACAGCTTGGATGTTTGGCAGCACACCACCCTGTGCGATGGTCACTCCTGACAAGAGTTTGTTCAATTCCTCGTCGTTTCTTATGGCCAATTGAAGATGTCTCGGAATGATACGAGTCTTCTTGTTGTCCCTGGCTGCATTTCCTGCCAGTTCGAGTACTTCGGCGGCCAAATATTCCATGACGGCGGCCAAGTATACGGGAGCGCCGGCTCCTACTCTTTCGGCGTAGTTTCCTTTCCTCAACAAACGGTGGATCCTTCCGACTGGAAACTGAAGTCCTGCACGGCTTGAACGGGACTTTGCCTTGCCTTTAACTTTTCCTCCTTTACCACGTCCGGACATTATGAAAATGGGCTTTTAAACTTTAAAACTTTCGAAAACAGCAGAGCAGACCTCTACGCGGTCCAAAATGCGGAAGCGGAATGTTTTGCCGCCGACACTTTTCGTCGCTATATAAAGCGTACGAGCGACCAATGGAAACGCGAGAAGCGTCCCATTGGCCGTAAGCGCAGTGGGCGGAGCTTGTGAAGGGACTCGAACGTATGTTAAATAACGAGATTTTTGGTCCGGTTCAGGCATTCTAGTTCTGACCGTTTGTGAGTTAACATTATTGTGACCGACTGACAAACATGCCGCCGAAGACTAGTGGAAAAGCTGCGAAAAAAGCCGGAAAGGCCCAAAAGAACATCTCGAAGACAGACAAAAAAAAGAAGCGCAGGAGGAAGGAGAGCTATGCCATCTACATTTACAAAGTTTTGAAGCAAGTTCATCCCGATACTGGAATTTCCAGTAAGGCCATGTCTATAATGAACTCTTTCGTTAACGACATCTTCGAAAGGATCGCTGCCGAAGCGTCCCGTCTTGCTCACTACAACAAGAGATCGACCATCACCAGTAGAGAAATCCAGACCGCAGTGAGGTTGTTATTGCCCGGTGAATTAGCCAAGCACGCCGTCAGCGAAGGCACCAAGGCCGTAACGAAGTACACGAGCTCCAAGTAAATGGACTTTTGCTGGACGACGACATTGAATCATCAAATAAAAACGGCTCTTTTCAGAGCCACAATCGCTTTAATGAAAGAAAAATCGTTACGAAATAATCAAGTGTTTCTCTTACTTTATTTACACCGATAATCTCCTCGAGACAGGGATGAAAATTTATCCCTCGGAGTTCTGTGTATACTATATACCTACCTATCTGTTATAGTTTAAACATGCCTAGAAATGTGTATGTAAATCGTTGTTTTGACACGTTTTTATCTGACGACGAAGCGTTCTAATTTTTGGTGCCATCAGCGAAGGTGGTATAAGTAAATTTGCAAATTGATTTGAGTGAAGGAAATCGAAAAGGGAGAGTAGGTTGGTAGCGTCGTGACGCTTACGAATTTTTAAAAAGCTAGTAATTTCGACATAATAGGTTCTAGGTACCTATGTACCTACCTACCTATAATAGCCAATAGGAAATATGGTTGCAAAAAAAAAAATAATAATAATAAATTCATTCGCTCGCGGATAAATAAAAAGCAATAAAAAACGATTTTCTTTTCTGAATAGTGGTTGTGGTTCTGAAAAGAACCGATTTTCAATAACACATGTGCACAAAAAACGTGCATCGTCCTCGCGGAGGAGTCGTAGTAAAAAACGTTGACCGATTATTTACTTCTTCTTCTTGGGTGACGCCGTCTTTTTTGCCTTCGCTGGAGCCGCAGCTGGCGCTTTGGCAGTTTTCGGTTTGGGTGCCTTCGGTTTCTTGGTAGGCCCTGCCTTGTTGGACTTTTTGGCTTTGGATGGAGTCTTAATTTTGGCAGCTGCGGCAGCCGGCTTAGCCTTTTTCTCTGCGGGCTTAGCCTTTTTCTCTTCTGCAGCTTTCTTGGCGGCTGCGGCTGTCGGTTTTGCGGCGGCTGCGGCTGCGGCCTTTTTAGGAGATTTTGGCGATTTTTTCACTGCTTTCGGCTTCTCTGCGGCAATCTTTTTCACCGTCGCCGTAGTGGTTTTTTTGGCTTTGGCGACGACCTTCTTTTTATCGCCAGAAGTTTGCTTGGAGGCTCCGGAAGCGGCTGCTGCCAACTTGAAAGAGCCCGAGGCTCCTTTGCCTTTTGTTTGTACCAAACCTCCGGAGGCCACGGCAGATTTCAAGTACTTCTTGATGAAGGGGGCGACTTTCTCGGCGTCCACTTTGTAGTTCGCTGCTATGTACTTTTTGATGGCTTGTAGCGAAGAACCACCCCTTTCTTTCAAACCTTTGATCGCGTTATTGACCATTTCCGAAGTAGGTGGGTGAGTGGGTTTGGCACGAGGATTTTTTGCTTTCTTTTCTTTTTTCGCTGGAGAACTTGCTGGTGGAGTCGACACTACCGGTGCTACTTCAGTGTCTGCCATTGTTTCTAACTCGTTTTTTGTGGATCGGTTGAAATCGGAACAAAAACTATCTAGTTCGACGATACGTACGCTCGCTTACTATAGAGAATATAAAACGGCGAACTTTTTTTTGGTGTAGGTCCAAGAGGACGGACGGAGGACTGAACGGTCGGATTTTGATTCCTGGCTCAACTGTATACCTTTTACGTGCCAGCCACTCTCACTTCAATTGCTTGTTTCGGGTGGAAATTGCGACTTTCTCGAATCTAACTATAACTGTATCGAGGGTCAGTACCTTGTAGTAAATTTTCGAAAGGAATGCGAGTCGGTTACTCGATTTTTTAGCGAGAAACCGTAGAGCTGAAGAGAACTGACTCGAATTTTCCTTCGAAATTTTTTTGTTTCGCTCTCTGATTATTCGAATATTACGAAAGTTGTCGAAATGATTTTTTCAAGGAGACAAGATCATTTCATCCTCTTTCGAATAAGATATTGTAAGAAGACGATTTCGTTATCTTTCGTGGGGAAAAAAAATATAAACCGACACAATGTCACCATCGGTCGGCTCGGAACGAACGGAGACCCGACAAATATTCGTAAACAGTTTTAGCTCTTCATTTTAAACAATAATTATATCGGACGATTTTTTTCTTTCCGTAACATTGCGATCTATTCAAAGTGTACAGTGAATAATATCGAATTTTCAATTTGCCTTAATTTTTGCTTTGACATCAAATCACGATACCTACGTCACCGACGCTCATCCTCATCGGATAGGACTCTTTTTCAGATAAATGTTTTTTTTTTTTTTTCTTAAATACATTATTGATGGATTGTTCTGCATCATTTTTTCCCATTTAGGTACGCTTGCCGCCCTGTGTATAGGTATTCTAAGTTGAAATATAAAATTGAAAGTGAAACGAAATGACAATAATTTTTTTAATGCCGGCTGGTAGTATAGGTGCCTACATAATAATCGTTCTGCATTTTTCTCATCTGCGTACTATTTATTAGGTACCTATATAGGGATTGTAAAAAAAAAAAAAAGATTCAAATATAAACGAATGTCTTTTCGGAATTTGAATTTGTGGTTCTGAAAAGAACCGTTTTTTTCTCGATGTAGGATGCTTTTCGGCGGCGATTTAACCTCCGAATCCGTAAAGAGTACGTCCTTGTCGTTTCAAAGCGTAGACGACGTCCATAGCTGTAACTGTTTTCCTTTTGGCGTGTTCGGTGTAAGTGACTGCGTCTCGGATTACGTTTTCCAAAAACACCTTCAGCACACCACGGGTCTCTTCGTAGATCAAACCTGATATACGCTTGACACCGCCACGTCTCGCCAACCGTCTGATGGCTGGTTTGGTGATGCCTTGGATGTTGTCTCGGAGAACTTTACGATGCCGCTTGGCGCCCCCTTTGCCCAATCCTTTTCCTCCTTTACCTCTTCCGGTCATTTTTGTTCGTCAAAAAATCAAAAAAAAATCGTAGGCACACGAAAATATCGTTGCTGCGCTGTCGATCTTGACTCTGCACTGACTAAAAACCGCGCGTTTCACCTCGGTTTTGTTGAATTTTCAGGCCCCTCCCACTTGAGCGCGAGCCGACCAATGGGAATCGAGCAATAGACAACAAAACCGAGAGACGCGGCCACGGTTCGTTTAATATAGTGAGCTTCGTCGTCGTCGTCGGACCTATTACGAATTTCAGAACATGGCTCGTACCAAGCAGACCGCTCGTAAATCCACTGGAGGAAAAGCACCTAGGAAGCAGTTAGCTACGAAAGCTGCACGTAAAAGTGCCCCGGCTACCGGAGGAGTCAAGAAACCTCATCGCTACAGGCCTGGAACCGTTGCTCTCCGGGAAATTCGCCGTTATCAGAAAAGTACTGAATTGCTGATCAGAAAACTTCCATTCCAGCGCTTAGTTCGTGAAATCGCTCAGGATTTCAAGACCGATTTGCGTTTCCAAAGTTCAGCAGTAATGGCTTTGCAAGAAGCCAGTGAGGCCTACCTGGTGGGTCTTTTCGAGGACACTAACCTTTGCGCCATCCATGCCAAGCGAGTGACCATCATGCCCAAAGACATCCAATTGGCCAGACGTATCAGAGGCGAACGTGCTTAATTATTTTTTTTTATGACGACGCTTCTAAGAAGAAAAACAACGGTTCTTTTCAGAACCACAATCGTTTCAATCAAGAAATTCGTTTTAATTTTAATTTTTAATTAGGTATGCATCAGTTTTTCTTCCAAAAATTCGAGAAAAATTACAGGCAACGGCCACATCACATTGACCTGCCAGTTCTCGTCCGATCACTGAAGCCAAGCAATGTCGAGCGTGGTTAGTACTTGGATGGGTGACCGCTTGGGAACACCACGTGCTGTTGCCTTTTTTGCTTTTCCCATAAAAGAGTTGTTGATTTATTTATTTTTTTGAACTTCCTGGACGTCCGACCTGAAGGATTCACATTTCGAAAAGTAACCCTTTTCTTTCCTTCATTTGGTCTTGTTTTGGTGGTGCCGTGCAGATTAGTCTAAACGTAAATTTATAACCGTCGCTTCAATTTTGTGAGAAGTAAGACGCGTTTTCGGCAAACTAACAAGAGTATGATGTGAATGTGTAAACGAGGGTGTTGGTTTTAGAGTAGACGTCGTATACAGGGTGCGTCGTCGCAAGAAGTTGGTTTTGAAATTGTTTGTAATTTGGGAATTTTTTTTAATGAATGTAAAGAGTGAAAGAAATATCAGCTTTGAATAATTATTTTCATGTGGTCGTTATTAAGACACGGTAAAATAATGCGGTTTGCACGTTAAAAAAAAAAAATACTAAATGCTCCATAACAAAAAAAAATAAGAAATGTACGAAAACGTAGAGGGGCCACATCCTACTTTCTTTTCGGAATTTACACTCTTTGCTTTTTTGTAAAAAGCCAAATTCACGCACGAAGTTTCGTGAAAAAAAAAAATATAAATTTTTGCTTTTCTGTAAAAAGCCAAATTTACACTTTTTTTCCGAAATTTCTTGAAAAGTTTGTGTATTAACACTTTTTTTACGAAGTATCGTGAAAAAAAAATTTAAATTTTTGCTTTTTTGTGGAAAGCCAAATTTACACTTTTTTTCCGAAATTTCGTAAGAAATTTGTGGATTTCCACTTTTTTTACGAAGTATCGTGAAAAAAAAATATAAATTTTTGCTTTTCTGTAAAAAGCCAAATTTACACTTTTTTTCCGAAATTTCGTGAAAAGTTTGTGTGTTTACACTTTTTTTACGAAGTATCGTGAAAAAAAAATTTAAATTTTTGCTTTTTTGTGGAAAGCCAAATTTACACTCTTTTTCCGAAATTTCGTAAGAAGTTTGTGGGCTTACACTTTTTTTTCGAAGTATCGTGAAAAATAAATTTAAATTTTTGCTTTTTTGTGAAAAGCCAAATTCACACTTTTTTTCCGAAATTTCGTAAAAAGGTTGTGGGTTTATACTTTTTTTACGAAATTTTGTAGGAAAAGTGTGAATTTCGTAGAAAATTCGTAAATTTACACTTTTTTTACAGGAAGGCAAAAATTTATACTTCTGTACGAAATTTCGTAAAAAGTAGCATGGGTTAGTTTGAATTAGTTTCGGTTGGTGTTGGCGCCAATAGAGAACAGTGGAAACCTAGTCAATTCACTATTATTAAGTGACCCTATTCTACTCCCGCCGTTTCCCCTAGGATCGGTGACCAGAGGTGTTTCTTTGGATACTAGTTAGTAACTATTGTCTTGCTTGGTCCAGGTGGAAATTATGTGTGTAACAAGTAAGGGTACGTCTATATTATATCAACGGGAAAAAAAGACGATTTTTGAAAATAAATAAATTTTCAATGTGTTGAAGCTTTGACTAAACACTTGTCTTTTCCAAAAAAAATCACTAATAATTAATTTAAAAAAAATGCGTCAATCGAGAACAGGGGAGTTCGCCTTTTCTATGTCCGCAATCCATTATATTAAGTGATCCAATTCTACTCCCGCCATTTCCCCTGGTTCCGGGGACGAGAAGTGTTTGTTTGTTTGTTTGATTGGCTACTTACTACTAACTATTTTCTTGCTCTGCTGTGCAGGTGGAAATCACGCGCGAAACAAGTGAGGGTACGTCTATATTTGGATATAAAAAAAGCGAACGCGGAAGAAGACAAAGTCTCCATCCGACATTCGCGATTTTATAAGGTTCGTTCGCCCATCGTCTCGACGACTAGTCCGAAAAAAGTTGGGGCACGTCGAACTTCGGACATAGAAAAGGCGAACGCGAAAGAATTTTACTTCTTTCGACGTTCGCCTTTTGTGCGCGTGCGTGTTCCGCACGCCGCAGGGGTCTCGTCTCACCGACAAGACGAATCCCCAAGCTAAGGGCTGAGTCTCAACAGATCGCAGCGTGGAAACTGCTCTACCGAGTACAACACCCTGCCAGGTACGTAAGTCGTCTACAGACAATTCCGAGTTCCAACATCGAAATTATTGTGATACCCATGATCGACCGCCAAGAGGTCTGGTCGGACGTGGCAAGGATCGATCCCGCCGCCGACCGGTGACCCCACGCGGCAATTAGGGCTCGTGCGACGATCGGCGCGAACGCCGACCGCCTAGTAAAGTCACATTGTTTTGAGCCTTTCGACTCTCGGAACTCCAAGAGTTATCGTTGCCACCTTTGACTAGAAAGGATACGGCCTTAGAGGCGTTCAGGCATAAACCAACGGATGGTAGCTTCGCACCATAGCCCGCTCGAGCTAGTGCGTGAACCAAATGTCCGAACCTGCGGTTCCTCTCGTACTGAGCAGGATTACTATCGCAACGACCAGTTATCAGTAGGGTAAAACTAACCTGTCTCACGACGGTCTAAACCCAGCTCACGTTCCCTTATTGACGGGTGAACAATCCGACGCTTGGCGAATTCTGCTTCGCAATGATAGGAAGAGCCGACATCGAAGGATCAAAAAGCGACGTCGCTATGAACGCTTGGCCGCCACAAGCCAGTTATCCCTATGGTAACTTTTCTGACACCTCTTGCTGAAAACTCTTCAAGCCAAAAGGATCGATAGGCCGTGCTTTCGCAGTCCCTATGCGTACTGAACATCGGGATCAAGCCAGCTTTTGCCCTTTTGCTCTACGCGAGGTTTCTGTCCTCGCTGAGCTGGCCTTAGGACACCTGCGTTATTCTTTGACAGATGTACCGCCCCAGTCAAACTACCCGCCTGGCAGTGTCCTCGAATCAGATCACACGAGAGCATAAAACGGCACCCGGAGAACCGCACTCAGACGCCGACGGTCCGAACGCCGCGAAGCGCCCGGATATCGACGCAGGCACGGCTTCCGAATACCACCCTACGTGCTTGGTTCGAGAATACCGTGACAGCCGTCGCCTCGTGAGCGAACGGCGCACGCGTTCTGCCTAACCGAGTAAGTAAAGAAACGATGAAAGTAGTGGTATTTCACCGGCGATTTTCATCTCCCACTTATGCTACACCTCTCATGTCTCCTTACAGTGCCAGACTAGAGTCAAGCTCAATAGGGTCTTCTTTCCCCGCTAATTTTTCCAAGCCCGTTCCCTTGGCAGTGGTTTCGCTAGATAGTGGGTAGGGACAGTGGGAATCTCGTTAATCCATTCATGCGCGTCACTAATTAGATGACGAGGCATTTGGCTACCTTAAGAGAGTCATAGTTACGACCGCACCCGGGGGTCTGGGGGGGCGGTTGCCCCCCCAGAGTGCGAACATCCTCTGGATACTAGTGCCCCCAACCCGCGCGGTTTTAGGACTTCGCAGGCTGGTGGTCCGACACCGTCGTTGGACATCCGCCCCTAGGCATGTCTCGCTGGCGGTTACTTGCTGACCAACTGGTGTCCCGTCCTCACCCATGGGAAACCGCCCCACTCGCAGCACGCTTTGACACTTGGGTTACAACGGTCGTGACCCCGTCCGGGATATTCCCATGGTATCGCGTCGTCCTTCAAGTTGGCCGCCACTAAGCTCGAAGAGTAGGATTTTAAGTTTCCTTAAACCACCCCTCCGGCATCCCGTCAAGATGAGAGATGTATTTCCGTCGGGGCCGGGATTAGGGGTACGGGTACCCCACGCCCGCCTTAACTCCCGTGTCGCATGAACAGGGTTCAGAGTTCTTCCTGCTGTCCCCAGGGTTCCACTTGTCACTGCCCCTGAGAGGCCGACACCAGTGGAGAAGGCACGGGAAGCGCCGGGCCCGTGTGGCTCCTTCTCCCCCCCAGTACTCGTGTTAGTTATGAAATAACAACGTTTGACGAGCAACCGCCGAGATTCGTGTCTCTACTACATATCTATTACGCAAGTGTCGCCAACAGTACTCTTCCATTCAAGAGAATGAGGGGTTCACAGACGTTTTACGGGTGTAGGTCATGTAGTCTACTCCCACAGCTCAGCATCCGGATACTAGTGCCTCTACGTAAGTAGGGTCCGACACCGAAACCGCTGGCCGTGCATACACCCGGACTGGAAAAGGCCAGGACGCCCCCTCTAAACGAGTACCTGTGTAAACGTTGGACAGGTCGCCGTCGAGAACAGCGTGCTTGCATGTTCTCTACTGCATATCTAATACTGTGGTTTCGGGGGCGAAGCCCCGTTCACCATAGTTTTGGCGGTGTGTGCCATGCAGTCTACTCCCCTTCGATATCTTGCTATCTCCAGGCCACACACCCAACCCAAAGCAACTCTTAGCCGGATTAAGTGTAAACACGAAAACCGTTCCCAGGGGTCGCCACGTGGAGGCGTTTGCTTTGGTACGTCCGTGATTCCTGATGGAATCACGGTTGTGCCCCTACAATCACAAGGCTAAACTCGGATACTAGAGCGCTCCGACACCTCAAACGTTTGCCAGGAGAAAGCAGGAAACCTACAATCTCAAGGCTAAACTCGGATACTAGAACAAGCTCCGACACCTCAAACGTTTGCCAAGCAAAAGCAGGAACATCCCCCCCGTTTACCCGCGCTTGATTGAATTTCTTCACTTTGACATTCAGAGCACTGGGCAGAAATCACATTGCGTCAACATCACGTTAAGACCATCGCAATGCTTTGTTTTAATTAGACAGTCGGATTCCCCCGGTCCGTGCCAGTTCTGAGCTGACCGTTAAATAGCGGCCGAAGAGGACACCGAAAAGCCGAAACTTTCCGGGCCTCGCAGCAAAGCGGTTCCGCGGGAGGTCAAGGCGCGAGACCGAGCTCGGATCCAGCCGAAACTTTCACCCCGCCCAGGCCCGGCTCGTTAACCAGGACCCGCTTCCTCGCCAAGCCCGACACGCCCCGATCCTCAGAGCCAATCCTTATCCCGAAGTTACGGATCCAATTTGCCGACTTCCCTTACCTACATTATTCTATCGACTAGAGGCTCTTCACCTTGGAGACCTGCTGCGGATATGGGTACGAACTGGCGCGACGCCTCCACGTGGCCCTCTCCCGGATTTTCAAGGTCCGAGGGGAAGATCCGGACACCGCGGCAACTGCGGTGCTCTTCGCGTTCCAAACCATATCTCCCTGCTAGAGGATTCCATGGAACTCGAACGCTCATGCAGAAAAGAAAACTCTTCCCGGATCTCCCGACGGCGTCTCCGGGTCCTTTTGGGTTACCCCGACGAACTCTCTTGCGAGGGCCCGACTTATTGACGGTTCCGCTGCCAGGTTCCGGAATAGGAACCGGATTCCCTTTCGCCCAATGGGTGTGTACTAGTTTTAGAACGCTCGCCAGCAGCAGCGGCCTCGGGGTATCGTACGTAGTACGATACCGACGCCGCAGCGCGGCGAGCTTTTGTGTCGTAAATCTACACCACATCGACATCGGCTTTCGCCTAGGGCTTAGGATCGACTGACTCGTGTGCAACGGCTGTTCACACGAAACCCTTCTCCACGTCAGTCCTCCAGGGCCTCGCTGGAGTATTTGCTACTACCACCAAGATCTGCACCGACGGCGGCTCCAGACGGCCTCACGGCCAGCCCTTCTGCGCTCACCGCCGCGACCCTCCTACTCGTCAGGGCTTCATGATCGCCACGAGGGCGATCGCACATGCCGCTGACGGTCGAGTATAAGCACGACGCTTCAGCGCCATCCATTTTCAGGGCTAGTAACTTCGGCAGGTGAGTTGTTACACACTCCTTGGCGGATTCCGACTTCCATGGCCACCGTCCTGCTGTCTTAAGTTACCAACGCCTTTCGTGGTATCCCATAAGCGTCGATTTAGGCGCTTTAACTCGACGTTTGGTTCATCCCACAGCGCCAGTTCTGCTTACCAAAAATGGCCCACTTGGCACTCTGATCCGTGTCTCGCGGCTTCATAAGTTCGAGCAAGCCGGAGATCTCACCCATTTAAAGTTTGAGAATAGGTTGAGGTCGTTTCGACCCCAATGCCTCTAATCATTCGCTTTACCGGATGAGACTCGTGCGCAACGAGCGCCAGCTATCCTGAGGGAAACTTCGGAGGGAACCAGCTACTAGATGGTTCGATTAGTCTTTCGCCCCTATACCCAGTTCCGACGATCGATTTGCACGTCAGAATCGCTACGGACCTCCATCAGGGTTTCCCCTGACTTCGTCCTGACCAGGCATAGTTCACCATCTTTCGGGTCCCAGCGTGTACGCTCATGGTGCGCCTCTTCTCGCAATGAGAACGAGACGCCCCGGGAGTGCTGAGCGGCCACTTTTAAGGGTAAACCGCCCGTCCTCCCTCAGTCTCCGCGAGGAAGACCTTTACTTTCATTGCGCCTTTAGGTTTAGTGATTCCCAATGACTCGCGCACATGCTAGACTCCTTGGTCCGTGTTTCAAGACGGGTCCTGAAAGTACCCAAAGCTATAGCGTCGCCGATCGATCCAAAGGTCTGTTCGAGACGATCGCAGCCAACAGTCACCAGAGGTCAGAATCGGCACTAGGTCCGATCGCCGACGCATCTGGCGCGCTTGCCACGAGTCGAACGCTCCGAGAGCGGCCTTAAATCTTTCGTATACCGTCGAGCGAGTCAGCCGGGACACGCGGGTCCGCTCGCACACGTGGCACGAACGGGCTCCACCGCGAGCCGTAGACCGACACCCAACGGATCGCGACGTCCTACCAGGAGAAAAGTGCACGCGTTCGCCACCGGTTCGAAGAACGGAGGGCGCGGGTAACGCGAACGTTCCCCGTCGCACGACCGCCCGACGCCTGCGGCGAAACGCGAATGAATTTCTCCCTTCGACCTTTCGGGTTTCTCAGGTTTACCCCTAAACGGTTTCACGTACTCTTGAACTCTCTCTTCAAAGTGCTTTTCAACTTTCCCTCACGGTACTTGTTCGCTATCGGTCTCGTGGTCATATTTAGCCTTAGATGGAGTTTACCACCCACTTAGGGCTGCACTCTCAAGCAACCCGACTCTAAGGAGAGATCCTCCCGCGATCAGCAGCGGTCGCTACGGGCCTGGCACCCTCTATGGGCTGTGGCCCCGTTCAAGAAGGACTTGGACGCGCCGCATGATCTCGGGATAATGGACCCTCCCGAACACCACATTTCCCGGCGCCCGGTGTCGGCCGCGGGATTCGGTGCTGGGCTCTTCCCTGTTCGCTCGCAGCTACTGAGGGAATCCTAGTTAGTTTCTTTTCCTCCGCTTAGTAATATGCTTAAATTCGGCGGGTAGTCTCACCTGCTCTGAGGTCGATAATTTGAAATCAAACATAAATTTCGAAACGACCGATGCGTGTATTAAGTGTGTACAAGGCGCTTTAGGCGAATCGCTAAACACGATCAGACGTCATTTTCCGGGTTTTTTCATTCGAAAATATCGGACACGACGATCGTATATGTAGTATGGTGCGATTACGCGCTACGTTCACACACGCTTCGGCGTTCAAATGTTTATCGCACTCGTCGTCGTCGTCGTCGGTGTGAGACGACGACAACGACGAGGGATCGCTTTCGCGTTTTAAGATGTCGCGTCTCTCCTACTAGAAGAAGCCTAGGAGGAAAAACGCGTAAAACATCCAACTCGCTCCGACGCGTCGTCAACGCCGCCTCGCTCCGCCGTCGGCATCGATGTTCGATCATCGACGCCGAAGCGGTAAAGCGATTGTGGCGGCGCGGCGACACCGAGCAGTCTTTCAAATAGATACGACCCTCAGCCAGGAGTGGTCCGGGAACAGAATCCGAGGACCGCAATGTGCGTTCGAAATGTCGATGTTCATGTGTCCTGCAGTTCACAAGTTGACGCGCAATTAGCTGCGTTCTTCATCGACCCACGAGCCAAGTGATCCACCGTTTAGGGTAATCTTTTTTAAATTCGTTCAACGACAGAGAACGTGCGCCCGCGCGCGCGCCATTCCTTCCCCGATCGATATATTATAAATATAGACGATCGGAGTGATTGGCGCCTCGCGACGACGACGGCAACGTTCTACTCGTACGTTAGTTTAATCAGGTGGCATTGGTTTAAAAACGCTACTTTCCGACGTCAGCCTCGTGGACGGACGCAAACGAGTTCGCGGGCGAACTCGGTCTTGCAGACGGCAAATGCACTTCGTGCATTGGAGTCTATATTTACCTTTAATTGGAAAGGGGTTAGTTCGTGTAAGTTCGAGTCGGCAATGTGGGGACGTCTCGGCTTCGCCTCGACACAATACTCATTTGTTTTGTCCTTTTCTTTGAAAAAAAGAAAAGATAAAATTTTTTCACTGTCACAAAGCTGTCAATGTCATAAATTTGACAAGCAGGTACAATATCGAAAAAAGAGTTCCGCCTCGCACATTATTTTTCCCAGACATTTCAACCTAAAAATATGACAAGCGCTGATAGCTGTCAAAAATTTCTGACGCCGATACGTGGCCAACGTTGAATAATCGTTTTGTGTCTAGTTTATAGCTGTGAAAAAAAATTCGCCTGGTTATTTGGAATCGCTCTAAATAAATCTGGTGTGGCACGGAGTCCTTTTTTTGAAATGGCCAATGTTGACAGCTGTCAATGTCAAAAATATGACAAGCAGGATTCCGCCACGCATAATATTTTTTCAAAACATTTCAAGTCGTGTAAAAGAAAAATTTGACATCTATGCTTGTCAAACCTCAATATTTCCCTTTTTATTTTTTTTCGGCCTGAAGATGTGCCGTGGCGAGGAGGGTCAAATTTACTTTTTGACGTATTTTTTGCTCCTCTATCCGATAGAACTTTTCTTTTCTTGAAATTCGATATTTGAAATTTTTCGACAAAAAAATTCAAAGGGTAATAAGCCTTCGAATTTTTTTTTTCAATTTTCAAACCGTCCTAACTCGAAAACGAAACGCTTGAGAGAAAAACTTTAAATATAAAACTTATAGATCTTGTTGAGTACTACCAAAAAGCCTATAAGAAGTATCCCTCTACGGGGCACCGTTTTCGAGAAATTCGACCTCGAAAATTTGACCAAAATTACAAGAAATTTCAACTTTGACGGCCAATATCCCAAAGACAAAAACAGCCTGGAGACTCAATAAAAAAATATATTGTAGGTAATTGCATCCTCTTTCGAATGAGATATCACTCGAAACGATCGGTTGAAAAATAGCGGAGCTATAAGCGAATGACTGGTCTCGTGTCGGATACCCACAATTTTTTTCTGATCAAAACCGAAATTTCCTTTTTTATGTTTTTTCGGCCTTAATATGCTGCGGCACAAGAACGGTCAAATTTACTTTTCGACGTATTTTTTGCTCCTCTATCCGATAAAATCTTTATTTTTTTGAAATTCAAAACAGGATTATACATAATATGTCAAAAAAGACGTTCGGCGTCGCCAGGCGGTTAGTTTTTGACATATATCGATGAAACTTTTTATTTCATGGTTTTTGGAGCCTGGGGATCGTTTTCTGACGTTTGTTTTTTGAAAAAAAGATAAGATAAATTTTTTTAACATTGACAGTTGTTAAAATTGAAAAAAAACCACACGGGCGTATAGATTTAGCCTCGGCGAACACGTAGGAAATACTGAAAAAACTCCATGGCCAACTTTGACAGCTGTCAATGTCAAAAATTCGACGAGCAGGTTCAATATAAAAAAAAGGATTCCGCCACGCATAATATTTTTTCGAAACATTTCAAGTCGCTTAAAAAAAAAATTGACACCTATGACTGTCAAACCTAAAAGTATGACAAGCGTTGACAGCTGTCGAAATCTTCCGACGCCGATCGGTGGCCAACGTTGAATAATCGTTACGCACCAAGTTTGGTGGTCGTGGTTTCTAAGGTAAAGCGTGGAGAAATGCAAACGATCCTAATGTATGCAATTCCGGTTGCATGACAGTTGTAAAAAAAAATTCACCTGGTGATTTCGAATCGCTTTAAATAAATTTGGTGTGGGGCGGAGTCCTTTTTTAGAAATGGCCAATTTTGACAGCTGTCAACGTTAAAAATATGACAAGCAGGTTCAATATCAAAAAAAGGATTCCGCCACGCATAATATTTTCTCAAAACATTTCAAGTCGTGTAAAAAAAAAATTTGACATCTATGCTTGTCAAACCTCAATATTTCCCGTTTTATTTTTTTTCGTCCTAAAGATGTGCCGTGGCGAGGAGGGTCAAATTTACTTTTTGACATATTTTCCGCTCCTCTATCCGATAGATTTTTGTCTTTTTTTGAAATTCGATATTTGAATTTTTTCGACAAAAAAATTCAAAGGGTGTAGCCTTCGATTTTTTTTTTCAATTTTTAAACCGTCCTCACTCGAAAACGAAAAGCTTGAGAGAAAAAATTTAAATGTAAGACTTATAGATATCGTCGAGTACTACAAAAAAGCCTATTAAAAGTATCCCTCTACGGGGCACCGTTTTCGAGAAAATCGACATCGAAAATTTTAACAAAATTACAAGAAATTTCAACTTTGACGGCCAATATCTTGAAGACAAAAACGATCTGGAATCTCAATAAAAAACATTTTGTAGATAATTTCACCCTCTTTCAAGTGGGATATGACTCGAAAGGATCGGTTAAGAAATAGCGGAGTTATAGGCGAAAAAGTGGTCTCGTGTCGGATACCCACAATTTTTTTCTGATCAAAATCGAAATTTCCTTTTTTATTTTTTTTTCGGCCTTAAGATGTACCGTAGCGAGGAGGGTCAAA